AAAGCCTTGATTTGGTCCCTCTAGTTATGGTTTTCGAAAAAAGTGTTGACATTTTTCTTTAACATCTGCCGACAAATAATCAGTAGCACTTAGCTAAATATTCAAACATAATAGGTTTCCATATGGATACTCCCGTAAATCGCTCAGTGTTGCCCTTCGAGTTTCTCCTCTTTTATTGACAATGGGATGAGTGGAGTAATAAAAGACTGGGGGAATATGAGAGCTAAAATTGATATGCATGGGTGAGGTGTATTGTAACATTACTAGTTTGAAGATGATGACAGTAGAGCAGAGGTGAAAATATTTTGGTCAGTAAAAGATTTATGGCATTGATGTTTGATAGAAAAAATGGCGTGTGTGGGATAACATTTTAAGTTAAATAAGATACGGGGTAAAATTTCACTCAAAAAATAATGTATTCCAGCTATCACCAGCTGGTTTTTAAGTCGTCAAAAAGGTTTAGAGTGTTGCACAATACAATATTTCTTCTATCATTTTGGCAGAATGTAATTGGCGTGCGCGTTATCCAGCATGGAGAGATAGCTAGACATTATTAATTATTTCGTTGCCAAATGTCAAATGTCAGTTAAAACAAAACTTTCGGAAGGGTCTATTTTAGCTTTTTTGTCTCGTCCAGTAATTCGGTTTTTTTCTCTTGACAGCTGTACAAAAGATTCCGGCTGATTAATTGTAAAATGTTCACGATATGAACACAGCTGTTAGCGTTTGAGAAGATATCAAGGAAAATAAAACTAATTGAGGGAACAAAGACGATCTGAGGCGATGCGGGGGAGTCTTGCTAACACAGCCTGAGCAGAAATGACGTGATAGAGTTGGGTTAGAAAATGTTCCCAAACTTGAGTTTAAAACTGAATGGTTCCCATGCTTTGGTGAGGACATCGAGCTGTTTCGATCCTTCGGCAAAGAAAATTGGTGAGACTTTCGCTCTTTGCCTATCGTTTGTTGTTTCATTCGGTGGTAACATCGTTATCGGTGTAATTGTCAACAGGACGAAAAACATGAGAAGACCAATCAATTTTTTCATTGTCAACATGGCCATGACTGATCTGCTCTTTTCGATTATCCTGTTACCGCTCAGTGTAACCAAAAGATTATTGGACTCCTGGACGATCGGTGGTTCTCTTGGCCAAACCTTGTGTAAGCTGGTTGTCTTTTTACCATATGTCTCTGTAACTGTGTCCTTTCAAAGTATGGTTCTAATAGCAGTGGATCGTTTTCTAGCTGTGTTATTTCCTCTCCGATCACCTTTCATCAGCTCAAAGCTCTGCTTAATTCTTATTTTAGCCACTTGGATTATTGGGATGATCACGTGCACTCCATTTCTCTTCGAGTCTAAAGTTCTCTATGACTCGCATAGAACACAAACTTGTAACGTTTGGGTGAATAGTGCTTTTGGTGTTTACGCAGTTTCAATTTTCAGTATCCTAACTTTCTTGACTTTGAGTTTTATCACCATGCTCTACATTGTCATGTATTCGAGGATCAAATCGGAGAGGATTCCTGGAGAACACTCGGTGGACATCCAAAGGCAAAGAGTTAAAAGAGAGCAAAACTTGCTTAAGTTGAGCATGACTATTGTCATAGCCTTTACATTTTGCTGGCTGCCACACAATATTATCCTGTTACTCCCCTACCTTCATAAATCCAATTTATCCGTTTCCTGTGTCTTCAGTAGCTTTGCAGCTGCCGCGAGAGTTCTGGCTCAGTTCAGTTGCGCCATAAATCCATGCGTATGCTTGTTTTTCAGTAGAAATTATTCTAGGGGACTGAAGAACTTTATCAGGTGTGCTAACCACGAACTTGGAGGAAATCAGTTCGCCCCATAGCAGTAAGGTTTATTCTAAAGTAAAGTGGGTCGAAAATAGGTAAAATAAGACACATTCAATGAATCCATCCCTTGGAATGAATCTAAGGATAAGTTAATTACGAATGAATCATTACGCTTTCCCGTTTGATGATTCCGGCGGCTAACTGGCCTGAGTGAACTCAAATTGTCAGTCGTATTATTAATTCATTTTGCTCGACCGTTTGCTCATACAAAGGAAAAAAACTTGTCGAAGATACATAGCTCTTAGAGCGTTCTTTTCGAACTTCTTAGTTCGACGCCTTCATTCAGAGACAATCAAGCTGTTAGTATACAAGGGATCAAGAGGGAACTTGAAACTCTTAACAACAACAATTTACCTTATTCCCATAGGGTAAATGATATAAAGCGCTTCTTATCTCTTCATAATATAAGATAGCATTAGTTCCTTAGTACTTGATAGAAAGCGATACCGTCCACTTTTGCAACTATATTATTGAATTCAGGAGAACACGAGGCTTGGCCATATTTGCTTGAAAACTGTATGTCAACTTTTAAAGCCCTTTTGAAAGATACCCAGCAGTTATTAAGAAAATTAGCTTTCGCCGCCTTCTTCCTGCGCGCGAAAGGTAATCAATGCATTTGTCAGTACTTTTCCGTTCAGGTGATGTAACGCCTGGAAGTAACAATATGAGTTAATGACCAAATATTATTTATGAGGTAAAATCATTTTAGTAATTAACTTTGTGGAAAGTTTGACGTTCGAAGTTTGAATCAATTTTACGACTTCAGCGGTTTTTCCTTATCTTGGCTAATTTTAGGCATTTTTCGAGCAAGAAAAAGTATTTTATTCCCAAATTTTTCAAAATATTTTCTGTATTGAAAAGTCTTTGAAAGTGTTAGGAATATAGCCTGCCTGGATGGTGGTTTGGTGTGCCAGCGCTGAGGGATCAGCGGCGAAGCTCGAAAGGTAAAAAGGTAAAATCTCAAACAGCACCTAAATCTATTGTATATCAGAATGCTAAAACTGAGAATGCTTCTGCAATCTGGCAGTGGTCATCATAATCTTCCCCGACAGTTACCTTCAACTAATGGTTTATGTTAATAAGTCAGTTAAAAAAATGTTTTTTTTCCAACGCCCAAAGTAACAAAAACAAAAAAATTGAATGCAACGTCTGATTAACCTTAGAGAAACAAGAGCCGTTTCAGACGGAAAACATTCCATGTTAATGATATCTAACTAATGCGTAATATATAAAAAAATATTCTATGGGTATTTCCTAAAATGAAAATAAAATCTTTGAGTTGGTTCATTTCAGCTTCAATGTTTCACCCCACAACTTATCTTTTTACAATTTTTAGTTTGTACCTTCGTAACAAAACCTGGACCACTAAAGTTATCGGTTATTTAAGCACAACCACATTTTCCATCGGTTTACCAGCTAATATACAACTTTGGATGTTAGGAGAACACTCGAAAAGTTCGTTAGCCACGAGGCGCAGCCGACGGAGAAAACGCGATTTTTATTCTGCTTACCTTGTAGCACAAACAGTGAACCACGATGCCCAAATAAAGACTTGCATGAGTTAAGGTTACTTCCCACCTTCAGAGGCCGAAAAATCGATTTTTCTTGTATTTGACTAAACTGAATTCAAACATTCAACCTAAAGTTTCGATAAAAAAATTTTCTGAAATCTTTAAAAGCACCCTAGTTATTTAGAAAATGTGTTTTCAAATAAAGTTAACAAATGAGGAAGATGTCATAATCTCGGACCTGGGCAAGTTCCCTGGGGGATTTTCGTGGCAACCGCTCAACCTTGGGGCTCGTTTTTCATGTTATTTCCATATTTTATATGCATCGCGCTCTTTACAAAATTCATACGTGGAAACTCTTGGTTATGGAAAAATCTTTGCTCATAGAAAAATAAAAAGTGGAAGAAAGTCCTTGGTAAAAAAAAAAATAAAAGCGACTGGTGCTGGCGGAACTTCACCAGATTTTGAACAAAGAAGTCGCCGTCAAACCATAATTTGCCATGCATGATGTCAAAAACGAGCTTTCCTTTTCTTTATGCAGGTACCAGCTTTGATACCAAAACGTTATCAATCGCCTCGAATCGTAATTTTGAAAGTTTATGTCGATTCGTTGTCTTACTCCTCAGCACATTTTCCGGTTTTTTCATTTTTGTTGCGGGTTTTCCTTTCCTTTGGCAATGGGTTACTTTTCCCGGGAAACATTGATCCATCGTCATTGACGCTAGGAGGTCTCGTTGTCCCATTGGTTTGCGGTTTCAGAAGGCGAGATAATCAGATAATCTCCTGGCGTGACGCGAGTTGTTTGCGATCCTTCGTGAACTTAAATCTCCCATTTGAATCTGAAAGGAATACAACCACTTTGAGCGAATCTATAGGGTATATAGATTTGACCTATTTTTGTCCAATTTCGCCAAAACGTTCTAGGAATAATGACAAACGAAATTGTGTCGGGAAATTTTGGTATTTGAATCCTGTAGCGTCCACTAATGTAACATGCCACGCATATTTTTAGTCTCTCCAACTTTGGATGCCGATACCTAGAAAACCAATCAGAGGGTCGAAAAAGCCTGACACACTCGTTGATTGATACCTTGTGAGTGAGACTGTGCAGCCATTTTGCTAGTGCTGCGCAATCCGATACCTGATAAATTCATTAGGAGAATCTTCGTTCGTTTCACGCCTTACCGGCTCTTGACACTTCCCTAAAAGAAAAGTCGCTTAAATTATATTTTTATCGTAAACTGCCATCATTAAGCTTTCTTCTGATAAATAGTTGGCTAGGGTTTTAGTGAAACTAGCGCGCGTACAAAGTTTTTTTCCTGAAGGACACCCGCGAGGTGGAAAGTAACCTCAACCTCTGTGTTACTACTTTAATCTGCTGGTACTTTTCGATATCTGCTGGTACTATTCAGTATCAGCAGATTAAACATGCTCAGAAGTAATGTACTAGTCTGGCAGTAGAGATTTCGACGGTGGCTCGTTCGTAAGAGCGAAACCAAAATAATGAAACAGGGGAACAAGATGAGGACGCAAAACCCAATTAAACCAAAAAGCAAAGTCATGATTGGCTTTAGGATTGAATCTGATTTATTGAGGAGATGGTAAGAATTTCCTAAACCAAAGAACGAACTAAAACAAAACGAAAGCTGACTTTTGGTACTCAATTGAAATTTTTTCTGAGTGACGGTTCTCTTACTCGTACCATGCAAACACATCAACACAAGTTTTACCACTGTTCCCACGTTCCGAACAGTCTTTCAGATCTTGCCCGTACCATATCTGCAACTCTTGATCGCGTGACACAGACAACGGATTCGAAAGGTTGCGAAAAACCAGTACAGTAGAATTGTGGCTGGTCCCATCGAGACTGTAAAAGTGTTTTTCGGTGCCACATTCGTGAGATTGTGAGACATCAAACCCTTCTAGGTCTTCATCAGGAGGTAGGACGGCGTTTTTATCAGCATCTGTTATAATTGTCGATAGTGTTCCATTATATGCACGGTAAGTGCAACCCCAGAACGATGAGCCAGTTACGCGATTGCAGCGTAACGATCCTGATTTGTGGATGAGCTTCATGGCTCGGAGACGTCCACTTTTGGGGATTGTCACGGAACCATACTGGTTATCTTTCGCTCCAAAGCAGACAGAATATTCACCATTTACCTTCTGCCAGCTACCTATAATGAAATTGATAAAAAATAAGAACTTTAAATTAAAACAATCAACGTTTCTGAGGTCTTCATCAGGTAAGGACCTAGCTCCCCCTGGAAATGAACACGTGGCTATTAGTAGTGGGCGTTACTATTTTTTTCAATAATTAACTTTGTAATCATAAACAGTTTGAATGTAGACATAAGGATATAGCTTGGATGTTTGCTGAATAAAGTTACCGTGAGTCCATTGTAGTCCAGTACTGGAACATTCCACACCAATCGGACGGGCAATGGTGTATATTTAATGCAGCACTCTTTAGGACAGTCTATAAAAATTTACTATTATTTGCGATTAGTTGCATCGAATTACTTGTTAGAACTTATAGACAAATTACATACCCCTATAACACTTAGGTTCTCAATCGATGGACCTTTAAACGTACAGACAGGTCGACTAATAAGGTGACAAACTGACTAAATTGCTGTTTTTAAATAAGTGGACCAATAGGTTTCCAGTTCCAAAATCTAATGACGTGTCGTCAGCTTTGTGATAGAATTTCTTTAGGATCAGACCTTTCTGTGGTTACTGACTATAATATATGATTACCTTCACAAAGAGCCTCTATTGGCAAACTTTTCTCATCAGAGTATATCCAGTGTTTCGTATTTTCCACATCATTTCCTTCACTTGCTCTAACCTCTGTGCACGATTCAGCTGGAAGCTCGGCGATAGATCCCAGGGGTACTATACGATAGCAATAGAATGGGTTACAAACCTCCTAACTATCAAAATTAGGCTAAGTAGAAGGCCTTTCATGCGAGGAAGGGATTCATTCATTTGCAAATTCGGAAAGATAGTTTGCAACTGTCATCTTCTCAAGGAAGAAGTTCTGTGCATCTCTAATGATCTATGAATAATGTGCGACATATCCGCTCGCAAGTAGATGAAAGATTGCTGGTAAACTTTCCGAACTGACCAATTAGCGACTGACCCTCGTCGTTTGAACCATCGTTTAGCGAAGTCCCTTTTCTAAATCTCTGTTGAGCCCTCTAGCTTCAGTCTCAGACGTAACTGATCACAAGAGAATGGGTTGCAATGCGTAAAAATAGATTATTGGAATTTTTTTTTGAATTGAAATCTTCTCTCTCCATTTGATCCTACAGATATAAAAAATGTCTAACCTTATTTCTCGGTTTCTATTATAAGTTATAGAACTTGGTTTTTTTCTGCTCGTATTTATATCTTACGTATGTTGAGCTTGGGCCATAAATCCGAGCAGAAAAAACCCGGTCCGTAACTTACAGAACGGACTTCAAACTCGATAGTAAGAGGCATAAGAATAAAGGGGGTTATTTTCTAAAGAAACTGTGGTGCTGCGTCGGTGGGAGAGTATAACATTCAGCGAAAGACTAACGATCGAAACGTCAGCTTTAAAACTCGAAACGGTGGCCAATTTACGTTATCAACTTAGTTGATAATACTAAATTACCCTAGTTAGACCCATACTTTCGAACTAACGTGGTGTATAGCCTCAAGTCTCCAATAAGCTTTCTATAGCTCAGTTAGTGGAGAAATCAGAAGCTCAAGAGAGGTAAATAAAGTTTTTTGAACTTATGTCTAAGACTTCTCTATCAACATGATAACAACCTCTGTTAGTAAGACGCTTCATGTAGTATCTCATCTCATCTGGCAAAAAATCTTCTGGTCTTGCTTCCTTTGTACGATTGTTTAGCTCACATATGTTAAGACCAATGACGAAGTTGTAGCTCTGACATGTGACTTCTTCCGTGCACTTGAAGTAGCACGTCTCATGTAATTCCACTTGGACGTTTTTAAACGTGTGACCACGGAGGTACATTCCTCTCACAGAGTATTCCGCTGTGTGACACTGGCCACTAACTTTATTTGTACGAATGCGATAAGTCAAAAATGCAATTACCAACCAGAACCTCGAATACATAGAAGTACTTGAACGTGATCCCTTGCTCATCCCAATGAAGCATGTATGTAAATGTTCAAATTGTCGTATATTCTCCGGGAATGCTATGCAACCGGTGGAGCCCTGTGTGAAATTCAAAAAACAGCTATGATGGGGGCCACAGCGTTTATTGCTGCAAAGGGGCAACATACGTCCTCTGGATCGCGAACAGTGGTTATCAATGCTGACTTCATTGAAAACTCTTCATTTTTTTGGATAGAATGAGAGGGTCCTTGGAATTGTAAATTCCATTTCATTTCATTTTCTGGTTCATGAAATATAATAATTACATAGAACAGTTTTTAAATATCAAAATATTGTCTCGTATTCACAACTTTAATAAATGATGATTTACATGAATTTAAAACAACGTTTTTAACGGTATCAAATATCGACAACATAAATCCCGGCGCTAAAAAATACATTTGTTTTATTTTTTAAGAGTTATAGCGGAGCGCATAAGTGAGAAAATACGGTTATTTTAACAAGATGATAAAGTTTGGTCGTGATGTTAGGCTTTCTCGTTCGACCATCCGCACATACCTTTTTTCATGGCTGCATCACACTTTGTATCCACACACACGTGCTAGTCAATAAAACAAAAAATTATTTTTCTGTGTTCCTTCGTGATAAAGATAAACATTTTGGTGACAGAGCTGAAAAGCAGACCTGTCAAGGAATGTTCGAACCTCAGATTTTCAAAACCTGAGTTAAATTTTCGTGTACTCTATTATAGAGAATAACGTGAGAAGTTTCGGCTCCCTCATGTTTTTGTGATCACCAATGCAAGGATTTGAGTTCATTGATTGGACACCGGGGTAAGAGCGGCAAACTGGAAGACCTAAGAGTCAGCCTTCGTTTGGCTGCATTATTGTTATAATAAATTTTTATCATTCACTGCTGACATGTCTGACATGAATATACCTATTAAATTATTTCTTATTCCTTGATAGGTCAGGAAAGATTTTCAAAATTACCCATCCAAGACATCCGTGAATTCCAGGCTCGTACAATTTAGTAGGCTTGGCTTGGCTTACCATGGCTTACCTTGATCTACAGTGGTAAACATTACATACTAAAGTAGAGTAAGTAAACAACGAGACTGACAGTGAACATTAACTCTGCCGGAAAACACGTTGAAATCTTTTCTAAAGATTAAAATAAATTATAATTGAAATAACTAATATCAAGTGTCAGTAGTAGCAAGGAATATATCTTTGCACTTTTATTTTTATTTTTTATTTACACTTGACATTGCAGCCGCTGTAGATATTAATTAAATTCATTTTAATCATAACTCGAAGAGATCGACTTGTTAATAGGCGACTTCCGTTTAGCCGTTAGTAAGGCTGATCTAAGGAAAATTTGACCAACAAAATATGACGAAGAATAGGCATGACAGGTTTGAACAAATCCATGCCGAAAAATTTGTTCCTTTTGATCACGTACATCAACTAAACTAAACTAATCATCTATTCTTTGCACAAGCTTCTAACTCTGTTGCCGCTTTGATGGTTTCATTTGTGATTATTTCCTCTATATGTGTTATTAGCAAATGAATCCCAGAGATATTTTACTTACCTGGATTTGTGTTCGATTGTCATTTTCATCCGCAGGTCAAATGAAATTTGTTGCTATTTTGTGTGCCTCACTTGTTTGTGCGAAGAGCACAAGGTTCGCACTGCATAAAATTGCCAACTTCAATTTTTTAAATCGTCGAAGAAATTAAAGAAGATCCACGTTTCTGGTCTTCGATTTTTATCAGAGCAATATTCCATATTGTCACTGAAGCGAATACACTGAAACTTTCTATTCATAGCTGCAACTCTGTTTATCATTTGAATCCAATCACTTTGATTGAACAAACATGTATCATGGCAGGAGGAGGTTTGATATATTAGACAACTAACGTAGAGCTTAGTTTTGTTCATGTGATTGCAGAAATTGTATGTTAGTTCAAATCCATCTTACAGTCTGTTATCATAGTTCTAATTGCAGTAGAAATACATCGTCTACCTCCGCAATGCACGTTAGTAAGAACAGATGTGTATAACGCTTTCAAAATTGAGAAACGTTCTTAATCTGACCCCTGCGATGCAAACACAATCAGTAAAAGAAAGCTAGGGAACTAAGCTTGAATTGATATTTAGGGTAAACCAACCTTTTTCTTTGCAGTAGATCCAGGAGATACTGGTTTTCCTGATCGATTCGACTAACCGATGTTCGCGTATGTCAGAATTAACGATAAATACTCGTGTCAACAGACTAAGGTTGGAATTAAAATAGTGGTAAGCTAATTCTCACCTGTCTTGTGACATCTGGATAGATTTCTAGTCCCATATCCCTTTCCATGTAAATTTATGCCGTTAAAATTTCAATTAGTTAATACAAAAGTCGCTTATACGAGCCTGGAATTGATCCCCTACACGCTATATCATAATTGGCTGAAAGCTAAAGTCATCAACTTCAACTGTATGCCTTTGTTTACACAACAACGTCACTCGCGGAAATTGGCAACATAAAAAAAACTATGATGAATGACAGTAGGCGCAATTGGATTTATCTGAGGTATTCTTGTCTGAATATTTTAATGAAATTTCTAGGCCATTGGGACAGAGTGAAAGTTCATGCTCATGAAAAGAGTTTAAAACACATTTGTATTGATCAAGGTTGAATTTTTGGCCATAAACTGTGAGGAATTTTTTCCAAAATAAAAACTTGACGATTTTGTGAAGCACAGCGTCTGAAATGTTGTTATTCTCCAAATTCTACTTAGTTCAAAATCATTAGATGTATTCAGTTAGTTTGAAGACAAAATATGGAAATTAAAATTGGATTTTATGTATGCCAGCGAGATCTCGGGAGACCTTTCCTAAAATATTAATTTGCGTAAACAAATTGATCCATTTAAAGGAAAGAACTCAAAATTAGAGTCTAAATCGAACTGAAAGGGTACATGAAAGCATATCATGCTCAAATAAATTCACCCCGGCATCGTTTCGTACCTCTTTCCCAGTAACTGTTTAGAATTCATACAAATCAATGTATTTGTAGAGATATCACTCTTGTCAAAGTTTATTTGCAGAATTTCCTCAATTAACAAAAGTACCTTTTCGATCGTTCGAACGCATTTGTTGATCTTCTAATAACAGATCTTACCTTCCCGTGATAATAAATGCGATATAGACCCTGTGCTATGAGAAAATGATGCATAAACTGGATTGATTCACAGCTTGCAGGACTCCACAAAGTAAAAACTTGCAAATTTTGTTAAGTGAGGACATGAAAGGACAGTATGGATAAAGTCAAAATGTCCTTCCCTTGATACTTTTTTATATGAAAGATAGGGGTCATTTCTCGATTTGAACGAAAATAGAAGAATGGAATTCAGCTTCCTCTGAACTCCCCAGTCTGTGTGTGTCGCCGTCAATTGTGTGATACATCGAAATCGCCAAGAACTGTAGCACGGGAATTTACATGGAAGGTCTCGAAAGTTGCGATACTTTGCGCGAAAGGAAATTTGTTAGCCTCCTTTAATTTCGGACGATTTACCAAAAGTCGTTTCCATTCCGACATAGTTGGTTCATGGGCTGAAAGGAGAGACAAAGAAACGGAGATTATAGGAAACACAAATCAAAATGGATGGCATTTTTGGAACACTAATTTCATAAAAATGCCAAAGAAAGAGTCGCAGTTAAGGTACTTTATTGCAGAAAATCATTCTCCTGGATCAGAATTTTTAGGAAAAATGATATAAACCAAGACTAACAACACCATTCAGGATTTCATCGAATTATTCTGCCTTCCTTATTCGAGTAATGTGATAATTAATCTCGAACTTTTACTACCAGGGAAAAAATTGCCTTAAAATTTCAGTAGTTCCATTCCCAATTACTCAATATTACTTTCAAAACAACCTTTGAGATGGTCTATTAACCCTTCGTGCTTTTCTTTTTTTTATACCTTTTTGAAAGCATCTTGCTTATCAAGGATGATTAGACATGTGGAAATATAACTTTCAAGATTAGCTGAACAAGATTAGCCACACTATGTATAGTTTAAATGAATTATATCCCTTGCCATATTCAAGCAGAAGGAAAATTACTTTAAAACCCTTACTACATGCGAAAAAATAATCCACAATTTTAACACTTTCAAACACCCAATTATAATCCTCAGAAAAAAAATTCGCGATGAAAGCAGAACAGAACCAATTTATCATCATTTCTTTTGTTTTTTTTGTACCTTTGTTAAGACCCCGGCTGATCAGAGATTACTGTATGTGTCAATTGCTGAGCCAAATAATACAACTGTTAGCGTCTGAGAAAATCGCCTCTTAGAAAAAACAAGAGTAATTAAATTTAGAGTCAAGGATTGCTTGATTGTCTCAAAGGCTATCTTTTACCTTCCTCAGCTTTTTTCAGAAATTACTCTTGCATTGTGCCATGTTGATATATTTCTTCAAGCTGATGACAATCCCTGCCAGAGTTTGTTGTCAGAAGCTGTAATTGCTATCGCTCTTTGATGCAAATACCAATTTACCCTTGAGCCTCTGAAGTGGTCTTTTTCGATCTATTTTCAGTTCTCCCACAAAGAAAAATGTTTTCCATCTTCGCCAGCAAGTTGCAGTGAAATTTAACCAGTTTTCTTGTGTGTTTACCCACGAATAGCACAGTATTCATCTCACTCAGAGAATAACGTTTTTTAACTTGCAAGGTTATAAATCATCTGTGTGACGTAAAACCGTTAGTAAATACGGAAAAATGTCTTCAAACTTGAGTGAAATATCACATGATACTCATAGTTTCTTACAGCCATTGGACTATTTCAATCCTACAACAGGAAAAATCGCTAGAGCTTTTGCTTAGTGGCTGATACATGTTGTTTCAGTATGTTTAGGATGATCCACTTTAATTGATTTATATCTTATCACAGATTATATGATGTTTAATTTGAAATAGGTAAGACTCTCTATCAAACGCGCTCGCACTTCATTACGTAACTCGCTCACATTTGATTTTAATTAATAACTTGTTTTCTATTTTCGTATCGATACACGGTCAGCGTATACCCATAAGACATTTGAGGTTTAGCTATGTTTCATGCACGAGGCTCATTCTTCAGGTACAATAGATTTATATCATTTGTATTTTAATTTCCTTTTGATTTCAAATTAGTTATTTCTGTCTTCGTTTAGTTTCTATTTCATTTTGTAACGCTTATATGGCAACGCCACGCCTCAAATGTTAGCGGAATGTCGTCGCGGATAATACCAAATTAAAGTTATCATTGTCTTTCAGGATAATTAAATATTATAGGATTCCTTGTGTCGGAATCGTGCGTTTGTTTGTACCACGGTAGTTGGAAATACATTCATCACCATCACTGTGCACAAGACGAAGAGTACGAGGAAACCCACCAACTTTTTATCGTAAAAATCTAATGGTCATGTCTGATCTACTGATCCCATTTTTCTATTCCCGCACATTTTAACAGTAATGTTCAACGAATCCTGGTCGATCGGTGATGCTCTTGGCCAGACCTGGCGTAAGTCAGTACACTTGAAAACAAAACAAAACAAAAAAAAAATAGCGCTCATACATTAAACCATTACCTTTTTAGGCACAATATCACCCGCCTTTGCCAAACCTCAAGAATATACAGATGGCAAACGAAAGTCATTTTAAGATATCCTGATAACAGCTAAGCTTTCAGGTCAGAAGATTTAAAAATGCAAGCGAATTGCAGGAGTCGAACAAGTCTATCAACACCTTTTAACGATCGACTACCTTTTGCTTTCCGGCTTACCCAGCGTGTCGCCGTGTGCATTGTAGAGTCATTCATCGGTCAAGTGACTCCTTTCATTACTC